CAATTACAACTAATTATATAATATAAATTATTTTTTTTAAATTAGTCGTGTCTTAAAATTTTATATTCTTTAAAAAAAAAAATTGAAAACTTAAAAAAATTTAATTTTGTCAATTCTCTCATTCTTGAAAAAAAAAATTTAACTTTTTTTCTTTATATTTTGATTTTGTTTGAAAATTTCAATTTTCAGAGACAAAACATCGAAGCGCTTAAGCGCCGCCTGGCAGTCTGACTGTTGAACATTTTGAATCTTGGTACGGAGCCCTTAGAAATGTAAAAAATATGTACTCATTATTACAAATTTTAAAATATAGCTGATATCATGCTTATGTCATAATAATCACTTTTGACTACTAACTAATTTACTTTGAAATACTTACTAACGTTAATAGAGTATGACTGACAGTTAAAATTAATTTTCTCTTCAAAAACAGGTTTTTGGTAAATTACTGATACAATTGCAGATACTCAAGAGATATTTAGATTCGAAAGATTTGAATAAACAAATTATTCCTAATATTAAAAAAAATCGGTTAATTGATTTGTTTTCTATAACTTTTATAAAAAAATAAAAATGTGTCCAAAGGATTATAACAATAATTAATTTAGGATTACTAAGTAGAAAAATGTAAAGTAATAACATTTAAATCAATTTTTATTTTTCAAAAATAATTTCAAATTTAAATTCTTGTCTAAATTGTCTGTAGTTGAATTATATAACAATTGTTATATACCGTAAAATTTGACTAAATGATTAAAATAAAAAATATGTTATGTTTTATTTGATTACTGCCGAACAAAAAAATTGATAACGTAATAAAAGCCTATAAAATTTAATAATAAATTTTGAATTGAACAGAAATACAATGTAGGAAATTAGAAACCAGTATCAAAATACTTCAAATTCTCAGCAAGTAGTTATTCATCCCTTAGAAATAGAGATCAATTAAAAGCGTATTAAAGGTCTTATAAAAAAGTTACTGTTGAATTTTCATTGGTAAAGAAGGAAAATGTAAAACGCTAGAGTCGCTAAAGTTATCAATAAAGTTTTTTTTTTGTCCTTCAACATTGATTTCTTAGTACAAAATTTTCAATTGTATCCCCGGCTAAACAAAATTTTTGCATAATTTTCTCTGATTATTGTTGTTGGAGTTAAAGAGCATTATAAATTATTATTAGAAGTTGAATTATAAAGAAAAAATTAAAAGTACTACCGTCATTACAAACTGATTGCAAACAATTTTTTTATTTTTGGATGATTAACTTTGTAATACCGTCATCGAAATTTAAGTCGTAAATTACTTGATTTAATTACTACTAGTTTTTCGACATAATTTTAGTTCTAATAAGCTTATTGAAAATCTGATGATTGAATATTTTGAAATATTATTTTCTAATAGAACTTTTTCTGGTTATTCTTGAACAATATTAAAAACGTATTATAGGTCATTTAAAATATTTACGATTAAATTTTAATTGGAATAAAAGGAAAATGTAAAGAAGACTTTTCATTAAAGTGTGACTCATCAATAAAATTTACTTTTGTTTTTCGAAAATAATTACTCTATATAATAATTTCTTATATAAATAATTTCTCAATGAAAAGCGCAGAACTAATTTTGAGAACAATGGATACAAATATCATATAAAATAAAAATAAACTAGTGGGGTGGGTGGCATCGTGCCTTAAGGCAAATTGCTGGAACTTCCCGTACCGTAACGAAATGTTCGAGGAATACTGAATGTTTTCAAATAAATTATTATAACTATTCTAACATTGTCTACATTAGAACTATAGTCAGAATTAAAAATAAAATCTGAATTATTTTCGATATACAAAAAATTAAAAAAAAAAAAAATTGAAACAGAAATTTTTTTTTCGAAAATCAATTATTTTGTTAAGACAAGCAGAAAGTTCTTTGAATCATTCAAATCGGACGATTAGTTCTCTCAAAAACTGCCATTTTTTACATATTTAGCTACGTATCTTCGAAATGGCTGGGCCTGCCTTTGCCAAAAACTAATAAACACTTCTCCCAATCATTACTAATGTTTTTTAGATCATTCAAATCGGATACTCTGTTCTCTCGAAAAGTCGATTTCTATTTTCTGCATTCTTTGCTCCGTATCCCCGAAATCGCTGGACTTGCCTTTGCCAAAAACTAATCAGCTCTTTTCCCTATCGATATGAATCGAATGTTTTCTGAACCATTCAAATCGGTTGATCCGTGCGCCCGAAAACGTGACTGGATCCATACATACATACACACACACACACACATCCATTTTTTCTGAGGTATGCCAAAATGTTCAGAAACCTTCAAAACGTCGAGAAATGTAAAAATTTTCAATTCCGATTTTCGGCCCATTACAATAACTTACCCTACGGGAAGTTAAAAAATGGGCAAGATCGATATTCCAGTAACTTAACCAACCAAATATAGAACATAAAATTCAAATAATTTGCAAGTAGACAATCATAAGTAACATATATTTTTATTCATTTTAAAAAGATCATAGAGTTGTTCTAAGAAATGTTCACTTTTCCACAATCATGTATTCAAAAATACCTAATTCAGAAAAATCCAAAAGCAACAAAATGTATTACGAAAAATTATTACAAAAAATTATTAAGTCTTATAAAACAATTAAATAACGTATACTCAAAAATTATCTAAATTATAGGTCTCTTAAACAAAACAACAGTGATCACAACCAAAAAAATTAACAACAACAAGGAACTACTTTTGTTTTCAAATGATGTTTTGCATCTCAAGATTGTAATGTGGTAAGAATCAAGGTGATGTCTGGTTTTACACCCCCTCCCCTACTTTCAAATGTTGTTGTTAAAAAATTCTTCACTTTACTTGTTTTAGAGACATTGATGGTGTGGACCTTTTTATCCGCGGACCTTTAAGCCCCGCTATATCTTATCTATATTATAACACTACGTATATTTTTGTTTTATTTGCATTTCCATATTATTTGACAGTATTTGTCAAATTTATTTAGGCAGATATCATAGATTTGAGTTTAACAAATCAGTGATGTCGCAAATCCCCTTATTCAAACATTCTGTTCAATGTAAATAATGTATATTGATATTTGACGTTTGTGCTTGTCAAATATTTACTTTTAGCTGGGTATCATAAAAGTTGCTGGTAGAATTGTATAAACCAAAAACATGAAAACATTAAATTGCGCATGTTGCGGTCACTGCGCATATTACGCGCCTGATTGAATATTTAAAAAACGTGCAACAAGTAAAGTATTACCATTTGGAATTTTAATATTTAAAAACAATTTTGCAGTCACAAAAGGATAGTTTTGAAATACATTTTGTAGTTGAGATCGATCATAAGCGTGAATTTTGAAATTTAATTAATTACAATATAATAAAAATAACATATATACTTTCACATTTAACACCCATCAAGTACTTACAGATAGAAACAAATAATCATTCATCAAATAATATAATTAAAATAGAAATGCAAATTAATACACAAAATTAAATATAACATAACTAGCAAACCCGACGAACTCCGTTTCGCCACCAGATGGTTTCGTGAGAAAGACGAAGAAATGTTTTGTTTGTTTTCTATTTGAAAAGGAAAAATTTGATTTCATTATACAACAGTAAATTTATTTCTATTACAAAAATGAAGTGTTTTTTAGTTGAACTTCTCTAAATAAATGAAAGTGAATCCGAAAATTATCCATTTCATTGAAGTGCTCTTTGGTAAACCACATTTTTAGTTTTTTGGTCTGACGTTAATACAAACAAAGCAAAGCCGATGGTTTTCCAACTCGTGAACAGGCAACGTATAACTGCCCATGTGAAAAACATTGATTTTCTAGATAATCTATTTGAAATTTATCCCGCACACACTAAGCGATTGGCATTGCGACTTGTTATTGCAAACGCAAGGCGAACTGAAAATTGCAATCGTTTGAAGTCAAACGGAAGACCAGTCAGAATCATTGGTATGTCGCCAAATCGCCAGCAATTTTTGATTGAATGGTGAAATTCAGTGCATGTACATCATATTTCTTGGCGGCAAGAATTGCTCTTTGATTTAACCAAGCATAATTCTGATAATTGTCGTACGGCGCGTGAAGTTCCAGCAATTTGTATTAGGGCACGATGCCATGCACCCCTAATTTTCTTAGCTATAAACCTTGCGGAGCCCGAGACCTTTCCAAAGAATGCAAAATTGTCGAAATCGGTTCGTGCGTTCTGAAGTTATTTTGTCAGGAAGGAAAACCCGACTTATTTTTATATATATTATATAGAAGATAATCTATTCGAAATTATTTAGAACAATTATTGATTATTTTTATTCTTCGAATTTTTAATTACGGTGCGTAAAGTTCCAGCAAATTGCATTAGGGCACGATGCCATGCACCCCTAATTTCTTAGCTATGAACCTTGCGGAGCCCGAGACCTTTCCAAAGAATGCAAAATTGTCAAAATCGGTTCGTGCGTTCTGGAGTTATTTCGTCAGGAAGGAAAACCCGACTTATTTTTATATATATAATAGAAGAGAAGATAAAAACGAGTCCAACAATTGACACAAATTACTATATACATGACACACTATATACACTAGACAAAACGAAAATTTTTCAATTGAACACAATAGAAAAAAGAATAATGAGAGGAAATTTTATATGGAGCGAAAGAAAAATGTATCATAAACTTTTGATCGATATCATGATGACCAGGGATACCAATAATTATAAAAAAAAATCTATAAATATTATAAAGAAATTGAGATTGAACAGATGAAAAATAGCTGGATAAATATTAGGCTTATAAATGTAGAATGAATATGTATATATAAAAATGTATATGTATATATAAACATGTTTAGGGCAATAAAATACTAAAATAGATATTCCGTAAGAAAGATCTTGTAAATATTTTTAATCTTACGTAACTAATATGTTTATTATATTCGAAAAAGTATATATACTAAAGCATTTTTTTCTTTTAGGAGATAAAGCCAGGAAACGAGTCTCAAAGTGTATTGAGATTTTTGCCGACGGAGCAGGATCATGATGCTTTGCTAATATGCAAAGCAGAAAATCCTTCTATGCAGCAATCCCTTCTAGAAGATAACTGGCAACTCGACATATTATGTAAGTTTTAGAAACTCAATTATTAAATTTAAGCGAATATACCAATGCATTCGCAAAACTCGGCCAATAATATTATATAAGAAATGCAAAAAATATCAAGTATTATTTGCCTTAGTAGTACTGCCCTAGAGCAGGGCCAACTCCAACTCGGTTCAGGGTAGAATAGCGTGAGAGATTTCTCATTACCATTTCACACCGCTGTACAAAATTGGCAATTTTAATTATAAACATATTTTTGATCTGTGTATATTCTGGAGTGAAAATTGACATCGCTGCAGCACGATGTCAGGTTGTACAGAACGAGGTTCGAACGCACGAACCCGTCCATACAAGTCGATGAGCTTATTCGTTATGTCATGAAACAGCATTCGAGTAATATGTTTTTAAATTTACTGACAAATTTATATGCATCACAATGTTTTGAAAAAATATTTGCGAAGATTATTGAAGAAATCTAAGGAAAAAATGTTTAAAATATAATAGTGAAAATATTTTTGAAACTCTTTTCATAGCCTGTTAACAATAAACTATGAAGATATACATTATAAATAGTGTAAGTAAATAATTTCTGAAATCATGAAAATAATTCTAATAAAACACTTTTGAATTTATACACCTTCAGTGTATGAGATATACTTAAAAATATTTGAAGATGGAGCATAATATATAAATTCTAAAAGTACAATTTTATTATTCAAAAATTAATTTTCAAAATGCCATAAATTAATAAAAATGATATATACCTAATAATAATAAAGAAATTTAATGCAAAGTAGTTCTCAAAGGATTGTGTAAAATTCTGCTTTACAAAAATTTAGAGTGAATATGATAATTAAAGCACACTAGATTTGACGATAATAGTCATTTTCATAAATAAAAAGACAATTTTAATATGAGTTAAACTCTTCTTAAACTTGGATACTAATTATAATTATATTAAGTAAATATAATTATAATCATATAAAGGCGGTTCTAATTCACTGAACAGTGACATATGTCAATGACTGCTCATTGGCTATCATTAATTTCCAATTAATTAATTTTTTATTCTCAAGATATTCGTATGGGACTATTCTGATCTGCATTATATAGTTTAGATAATATTTTATATAACATAAAGGACGGATTTTTAGAATAGATACAAATTATTACTAAAATTGTATTTAGTATTTTGTTTCTTTTTTTACAATCTATAAGATTAATTATATTTAGCAGAGAATGCTGACAAGTTATTTACAAATGATTGTTTACAAATTAGTAGATACGCCCAGTGGCGTATCTAATATAGTTAATATAAAAAAAAAAACTAAAGACAAATATATATATATATATATATATATATATATAAACTATATTAGATCTCGAGGTATTTTCCTTTTGAGCCTGGTCGGCTGACCTTTCTGGTATAAGTTGCATTCTAGTTGGTTAGGATGGGCGTCAATTCTATTCTTATAATTACAAACATTGATATATGTTCTGAATTGTATGTATACCCGTGTCTTTGTGGAGGATTCATGTTGATGTGTAGAGAGGAGCGTTTAATATTTGCCGCAGAAATTTGTTTTGTGCTCGTTGTATATGTTTAAATTGCTCTATTTAGCAGTACCCCAAGTTGTAATGCGTAGGTCCACACGTGTTTATCACAACCTATATGTAAGTAATTTGTTGTAAGTTGATAATTCTGATTTTCTGTTTAGGAGCCAATAATATTTTTTGAAGATTAGATCTATTTGTTGTTTTTTTATTTATGTGTACATTCCAGTTGAGTTCCTGTCTAAGTGAATGCCGAGATACTTTATTGGTTGTTTGGGCGGAATAATTCATCGTTGAGCACAAATTTGGGTGCAAAGCGTGAAAGTCATATGAACTGATTTTGAGCTATTTACTTCTATCTTCCACAACGAAAACCATTTTCAACTAAGCAGAGATGGTGCTGAAGACTGTTGGAAGCTGCATCGGATCTTTGTTTGTGGGAGTGTGATGATGCACGTATCATCAGCAAATGTGCTGAACTCGTGTCAGTTGAAGTTGGAAAATCAGCTGTAAAATTACAAATAGTGTTGGGGCAAGAAACACTCCCTTGAGGCACTCCAGAATTAATTTCGGTAATATTTGAATCCGTATCGCGATGCTGATGAAAATTTTCTATTTTTAAATAGGATTTTAATAATAGGAATAAAAAATCTAGTAAACGTCTGTTAATTGTATACATTTATCCGTATGCTACACCTTGTCAAAGGCTGCTTGAGATCCAAATAGCCGCAGAACAATACTCTTTATTATGTAGTACTTTGTTAATTACGTTTATTATTCTGTGAACTTGCTTAAATGTTGAATGTTGTCTCGAAACCCAAAGTTGATGGTTTCGGAATAAAACTTTGTTCTTGTAGGATTATTTTAAACCGTTGAAGGATTAGCTTTTCAAATATTTTTGAAATGCAAGACAACAAACTTATCATCCTGTAGGAAGATAATAGATAAGGATCTTTACCTGGTTGGACTATAAGGATTATTTTGCCACTTTTCCAAGACTGCGGAAAAGTTTTCATTCTCAGTATAGAGTTGTATATTATTGTTAGTATTCTAATAGCTTTTCTTGGAAGTCTTTAAGCATTTTAATAGAAATCCTGTCTGGTCCAGGTGATTTTCTAGAATTTGCTTTTGCAATTTCTTGAGTTACTTCAGCCGCAGTAAAACGATAGTATTATGAGTCACTAGCGACGGTGAATCCGAAGTCAATCATAAATGAATTATTGTTCATCATTAGAGTTGCATTTACATGAAAATGGCTGAAATGTGAGGGCAGGTGTTCGGCGAATGCATTAGTTTTTTCTTCTGGACTTCTTGCCCATGAACCGTCTGTTTTTTTAAAGGAGGAATTGGTGCATGAAATGAATAAATGCATTTGAAAGTGGTATTAAAGAGCGAAATCGTTCAAAGTCCATTCAATTGTTACTTTTGGGTTACTTTAATAAACAAAAAGTCTGTCGAAAGAAAAATTAAATACAGCAAATTAATACTAAAATAAATCTAAAAACTATAACAAAAATGTTGTCATTGCGAATCAAATGTTAGGAATCAAAATATTATTTCATCCCCGTAGCACGAAAGAATATTTAAATGTGTAACAAGGCATGTAATTCCGGCACAATAAGTATTAATTTGGCATTGCTCATTATATTGCGAATGCCTGAGCACGTTAATTGGATTCTCAAAGCATTCGAATTAGAATCGTTCTGAATGTACTGGCAGAATCGCGTCGATATGCGCTCTATATATAGAAACATTACTCGTTACTCGAAAAGAATAAAAACAAAGCGAAAACAGACAGACTAATTGACCGATTTGATGATATAGCAGAAGACGGGTAAAAATCATTCCATTGTTGTAGAAAAACAAATTAATTGGTGCAGTGGAAATCGTTATATAAATCGCACCAGAGTTTTTTTTTAACTTCCGAAGTTAATCGAAATTGAAAATTTTTGCATTTCTCGACGTTTTGAAGGTTTCTGAACATTTTGGCATACCTCAGACAAAATGGATGTGTGTGTGTATGTAAGTATGGATACAATTTTTCGTCCACGTTTTCGGGCGCACGGATCAACCGATTTAAATGGTTCAAAAAACATTCGATTCCATCTAGCCCGTTTATATTTGTTTATCTATTGTCTAGCCGTTTCGGAGATACGGAGCAAAAAATGCAGAAAATAGAAATCGAGTTTTTGAGAGATCGGAGCTTCGGATTTGAATGATCTAAAAAACATTCAATTATTAATGGTTGGGAGAAGTGATTATTAGTTTTTGACTAAGGCAGGCATAGCCATTTCGAATATACAGAGCTAAATGTGCAAAAAATTGTTGTTTTTTAGAGAAATAAGCGTCCGATTTAAATGATTCAAAGAACTTTCTGCTTGTTTTAACAAAATAAATAATTTTGAAAAAAAAAATTCATTTTTTTTTCTTTTTAAAAAAAATGTATATCGAAAACAATTCAGATTTTATTGTTAATTCTGACTAAAGTTCTAATCTACTTTAAACAAAAAATTTCAACTTTGCAATTCAGTTTATATAATTCTTATAAATATGAGACAATGTTACAATATTTATAATAATCTTTTAAAAACATTCAATATTTCTCGAATATTTTACGGTACGGGACGTTCCAGCAATTTGCCTATACCCCACTAGGTTTTTTGTACATTTATGTACCACTATTTGCCTAGTGACATCAATAATCTATTTACAATGACATTTTCATAGAATTATATGAAAATTATTGGTAATATTGACAATGGAGAAATATAATTATAGATAGTAATTAATTCAGAAGGTATTTACTATTAGATGCAATTTCCTTGAATTAAATTAATTGGCCATAATTTTTTCTACTTCTTCTGGG